CACGTTACGTATGTCGAAGCGTATCCGACGACGTGTTTTGGTAGATGTCGCTGTGGCCTTGGTGTTGGCCATGAGGGTCTTGTCACGGATGACGTAACTGCGGTCGGAACGGCGTGAACGTCGAAAGTTGGCAGGAGAACGTGATCTGGCGCGGGGTGAGCCACGGGACGAACCATGACTCAAGGAACGTCTGCCACGTCCTTTGCCACTGCCATATGATCTATCACGGCCGCGTGGACTGCCGTGTCCGCCGCCACGACTGTCTCGCCCTCGGGAGGTAGATCTCGAAGATCTGTCGTATCGACTTCTCGATTGACTGCGAGAGTCTGGGGACCTCCTGGATGTTGAACGAGATCGGTCGCATTGGCGTCGGTTGTCACGTCCATGGCGCGAGTCGCTTGCGCAGCGAAACCCCCCGCGTTGTGAAGAACGTTGGCTTCCTGATCCGCGGGATGGTGATCGGCCGCGGCTATCCTGGCTGGAGGTCCGTGGTCGACTCGGGCTTCGATCAGGAGTCTTTGCACCAGGTGTAAGATGAGCGTATTTGCATTTGTCGCCTTTTGGGCACTTTATTCTGTGCGAAATCTTTACACTGTGCGACGTGTGGAAAGTTACACTTATCGCCTCTGGTACATGTGTTGCGCTTGGCGAAATCGAAGCAAAATGGTTTCGATGCTGGCATCTTGTGATCCGCAGGGGTGGACATACTACGGCGGGAGTTGCCACCGGCCGTCGATGTTCTGGAAGATTTGTTGTTCTTCCAATCTCTGGAATATGTATGCAAAGCCTTGCACCGTTCACCATTGCGACAATTGCCTTTCTTCCAGGCAGCGCACGCGTTGACTTGAGAACATGTCTCATGTTCGTACCGTAACTTGTTTTGATTCTTCTCCAACTTTTTAAGCTCCAGTATGTCCAGGACACGCTGTCGGAGCCAATCGTAGGTACGATTCGGGTCGCTCATCTTCATGCGCTGGTACTCGTACATGTCTTGTTTCATCCATACATGTCTCCGAATCTGTGTACGAAACAGCGATTCCAAGATCTTTGGATCGGGTGCTTCTCGGCACTCCAAGAGTAAGGCGTCCCAGTCAGTAATAAAACGTTGCAAATCGTCATCTCTCATCCTCAGTTCTTTAAGGCGCTCGAAATCGTGCAGGTCGTCGTCAACCTCTGTCACTTTGTAGGACTGTAGGATGTGCCAGTAAATCTGGCGTCCTTTGAGCATGCGTCCTGCTTTGTGCTCTCTAGTTTCGATGAGCCTGATTTGGTAGCGTAAGTCCGAGGATAAGATGTCGCTCAGAGCGGTAGCGAGTTTGCAATCGATGCTCTCAAAGTCCCCACTGTCTTGTAAGTCCTCGAATGTACATTCGGGCTGTTCAGCCACGCATAGGAAGGCGTATGCTTTGGATGGTCGCCCTGAGGCGGCCCCATAGTTCTTCCGTACCTTTTGCTGCCACTCGAGCAGCTGCGTGATCTTAGGCAAGACAGGGGCTCGGACGGTGTCTGACTCCTTGATAGGAGTTGTAGTATGGACCGAAACCGCAGACAGTGGTTGTGAGGGTATCGGTGCACCGTCAGTAGTTGGTTCTGTGCGCACAGGAGACACATGGCGCGTCTGTGCAGAAGCTGCCGCGGAGGCTGCCCCTGGTGACGTACGTCGTTGTTGTCCTGCAGAAGCTTGTGGTGCTTCGGCGGACGCTGCCGTCGGCCTGTGCAGGTCGGTTGCAGGTCGGAGGTGGAGATTGGTGTCGTTGGTGTGGTCGATCAGCTGATTCGTCCAGCTCGTCATGTCTTCGTGTATTTGTGCCACCTTTTGGCGTGTATACTCATCAGTATCCCGAGAACGTTGTGAATGCCGATCAAGTCGTTGCTCGTATGCTCGGAGACGGGCGCTTTGTGCCTCCAGCTCGCTTTCCAGACGTGCGAGGTGACTCTCTACACGTACCTTCTCAGTATCTCTTTCACGACTAACCTGGGGGAGCTCCAACTGCGTGTGGTCCGCCGCCTTCTCAACCTCCTGCAACCTGTCAGTGAGGCGGGCGAAATCGTAAACCGTGGGAGGAGAATCCAGCCGATCAGTCTGGGCTCGTCCGACACGCAACTCTGCCAGGGCGTCCTGCACACCAGGAAAAAGCTGCTCGATGTCAGAGATCCGGTCAGCGAGTGGCTGCACGACAGCGTTGGTCGCATCAAGCCTTTGAGTGATGACTCTCTCAGTACGCTGCAACATGTCGATCAGGTTCGACGAGTTGGCGTGTGCTTCGTTGCGAAGCGTCGCCGTAGTGTGGTCTAGATAAGATCGAAGATCATTGATCTGAGACTGAACGTCGCCAAGGTCGGTGGCCTCGGCTGGTGTTGGTCGGTTGCGGAGCGGGTCGTGGATTTCATCATGTAAAATCCTGACTGCTGAAACGCCTGCGTCGCGTACGAGCACAATCTGTTGCTCCATCTGCGCGAGGTAGTTGCGCAGGTTCTCGACCATCGCCGTTTTTTCACCTGAGTGTGGCACCTCACGATCGACCTGGTACTGCAGTTCACCTATGATGCGTCGATCTTCGGCGATCCTGGAATCAATGATCCCTAAGGCGCCGTCCAGATCGTGGCGTATGGCTGCAGTATCGGCGGCGTTCGTCTGAACGCTCTGCAGTAGTCCAGAGTATTGCCTGGACACGAAGGTTTCAACCTGGTCTCTGAGAAGGTTTCAACCTGGTCTCTGAGCTCAGCTATTTCACCTGCGGCGGACGTTTCCGCCAGCTGGTCGTCTGATATGGAGAGGTGGGGAGCGTCAGCTTCCCTGTGTCCCCTGTCGCGGGGAGCGCATGGCCTCTGAGAGGCAGTGCGCGGGCTCGACCTACTCTCGCCGCATGGGCCTGGGGCTCCACGGCGGTTGCGCGCGGACGAGCTGCGACTCGGACCATGTGTGTGTGGTGTCTCATCCGATGATACCTTGGGGTACTGCGTCTGCGGCTGTGCCGCCACTGGTCTACTGAGTTCCTCGAAGGTGGCTACGTGCTCCGCCACGGGGACGGTCGCAGGGCTGGGGGTACCAGCACCTGAGGTCCATCGGCGGTTAGCGCGAAAACGCCCTGGAGTGTCATGACCGGTGAGGCTTTCGCCTGACGCGGTTGGGATTGCTCCCGACGGGGAAGGGGATGGAGGATCGAAGGTAGGCGTGTGAAACTCCTTCCTTCCTGTTCCTACTCCTTCTCCGGGCGGCGCTGCGGTGAAGCTCAGCGGCTAGCCGCGCCCCGGGTCCGTCGGAGCTGGGGGGGGGGGGTATCTGGAACACCAACACAGTCCGCACTAAGGCTCTCCAGCTCGTCACCGAGACGTCGTGCCGTTGGAGAGCTCGGACGCGAGGCCCCGATGGACCCCTTGCGGCGCATGCGCCGCAGGGGCTCCATCGAGACCGCGTGCGAGATCGCAACGTGCGGTTCGGTGAAAGGTGAGCTTTAAAGGGCTGATAACCTGTGAGTGGGGTTGAAGTACATGGGTACAGAACCCCTGATCCGCTGGTAGAGGGAAGGAGGGATAGATGGATGTCTTTCCCTCCTGCACGATCAAAGGTCTGATCGATCTGTCCCAATACCTGAGCCCAAACGGCCAGGCGCAGGAGAGGTAAGGATAAGGAGTATATATGAGGGTATTACACGGGTTCTATTCACAGGAGCCGACGGTAAACTCGATCGCCGGCGAAAAGCTCGAGTCCCTCCAGAGAAGGCGCACATCTGGAATCGCTCTCGACAGCACGGGAATATCATCCGATCGATCGGACATCGAAGCGAGACCTGGCGACAAGGGAAAATCCCCGATGGATAGCGAACCCGATCAATCGAAAATCGAAGTGGCCCCCGCTCCTGGCGTTCCCGAATCACCCTGGCCTGGCTCAGGGGAGGAGGGACGAGGGATGAGGGGCGAAGGGGAGGATGGACGAGGGAGGAGGAGGGGGCGAAGGATCGATGGATGTCAAGTCCGAGCGAAATCGATACCCAAACCCAATGCCGGTACCGAGCCCGATCGATTGGAGAAATCGAGGTGGGCCCCGCTTGACTCGACCCGCTTCGATTCGATCCGATCGCTCTCGGATCGGGCATCCTCCAAGATCCTCGATCGGGCTATCGAGATCGGCCCGATCCGATTCGACGAGAGGGAACCGATGCGAGAGTTCTCGGCGGCATGTGATCCGATCGAGAGGACATCAAAGGGTGGCGTGTTGCCGAGAAGCCGCCTTCTGCGAGGGCATCCTCGTCCTCACTGCCCCTCTCGCTCGCCGCCGAAACTAGAAGAACAAGACTACCAACATAAAATTCCGACGGTCCGCGCGGATTTCTTGGATCCGCGCTGGACTCCCCTCCTTGGCGCGCGGAGCGCGCCAGGGGCGGCGCCAGAGACGCCGCCAGGGGGCCCCAGCGCGGATACAAGAAATCCGCGCGGAGCGCCAAAAGTTTATGTGTTTGCCGTGTTCTCTTCTTCGACCCTCGCTCGCCGCCGAAACATCTCGATGCAGAGGCTCTCCCCTCGCTCGAACCCGATCGACAGGACATCAAAGGTCGAAGTGCTGCTGAGAAGCCACGCCGCCCTATGAGAGGGCCTCTTCGTCCTCACTGCCCCCCTCGCTCGCCGCCGAAACATATCTGGGGAAACCAAAAGGCACCGATACCGTTACTCCCCTGCATGGGTACCATTCCCTGGGGGAACGAACAAAGACAAAAACATAAAAACTCGGAGGTCCGCGCGGATTTCTCGGATCGGCGCTCGACGCCCCTCCCTGGCGCGCGGAACGCGCCAGGGGCGGCGCCGGAGGTGCCGCCAGGGGGGCCCCAGCGCAGATCAGAGGAATCCGCGCGGACCTCCGTGTTTTTATGTTTGTCTCGTTCGCCGTTCCCCTAGGTATGGGAAAATAACCTCTTCCTCCGTTGGACATCGATGCAGGGGCCCTCCCCCTGGCCCGAGCCCGATCGAGAAAGGACAGCGAATCGAATGGGGGCTCCGCTCTCCTGGCGCAGGGCCAGCACGGCCTCGCCCGCCAGCGCCGCGGCGCCCGCGTGCGCCAGGCCGCGGAAGGCCCACATCCAGCACCGCTTGCGCCGGTGGGGCAGCAGGAAGTCCCTGGAGTCCAGCACCTCGTTTACCGTCGAGGCTAGGAGAAGAATAATAATGATAAGAAAAACAGAAACATCAGAATAATACAAAACATGGAAAACAGAACCGCCGTGAAAAAGAAAGATAACCGCCGTGAAAAAGAAAGAGAACCACCATGAAAACATAATTTTTTCGCGCTCCGCGCGCGGACTTCTTGGATCCGCGCTGGGCCCCTCCCCTCCCTGGCGCGCGGAGCGCGCCAGGGGCGGCGCCGGAGGCACCGTTTCCGCCGGTGGGGGAGCAGGAAGTCCCTCGAGTTCAGCACCTCGTCCACAGTCCCTGCCCCCCTCGAGTCGTGGGACAAAAATCACGACGGGAAGTTGTTCGCTATCTTCGGCCTCCGGGGGCCCTTGCCAGGCCGCGGGGCCGTCAACAAGCGACTCAGGATGCAAAACGGGTCCCGGGGAAGGGGTCGAAACCGCCGGTGGGTGAGCAGGAACTCCCTCGAGTCCAGCACCTCGTCTACAGTCGAGGTCAGAAGAAGACAAACGCCATAATAACGTAGACTTTTGGCGCTCCGCGCGGATTTCTTGGATCCGCGCTGGACCCTGAAGCGCGCCAGGGGCGACGCCAGAGGCGCCGCCAAGGGGGTCCCAGGCGCCGACCCAAGAAACCCGCGCAGGGCGCCAAAAGTTTATGTACATGGCGCCCCCTGTTTTTGGAGAGGTGCTACCAGAATGAACACCAAATCTGGACCGAAGCCCCTTTTTGGCCCCAGAGGCGCCCAGGTGCACGAGGAGGGCCGGAGGAACAACAACGGAAAAATCCAAGGATCAGCGAGCTCCTCCCGAACCCCCCTTACCTCAGCGCCCGGACTGTCGGGGCGACGCTGTGGTCGAGTCCACAGCGCACAGTGGACAACGGCGGAAGAAAAACACAGCGTTTGTAGCGCTTTCGCGGTCGACATTCGAGGTTTTCGGATGTGTTCGCCGGCTCCCGGCGCTGCTCCGGCCTCGGGATGCTTTCCAGCGGCGGTGCCTCGCCACGAGGCGTCCGGGGGTTCCCAGATCGTCTCGAACAGCCAGATTTCTGGCGCGAAGCTCGTTGAGGGGCTCTGAGTGGGGTTGAAAGCGCTGGCGTCCTCTCCTGTTTTCAATATCGGCGTTGTTTGTATCATCTGGGGGCTTCTCTCTTGTTGCGTTTTCTTGTCCAAGATCGGCCAGTAGCCAACCTGCCCGTGTTCTTTCCGATGCCACAGCGCCTTCCATCTGTTTTCAATCGTATAGTACGGCCCGCCTGACGCTCACTTTGTTTTTTCTTGCATTTTCTGGGCCATTCACAACGAAAAAAAGAACATGGGGGGATAACGGGAGACGCCACAGCGTCTGCGAGGGCCCGTCACAGGTGGGAGGAGAGCACCGAGCTGGAATCGGTGCTACATCGCCGATAGATCGGCGGCTATCAGGCCCCGATCGGCGATGTGTGGGTGATTGGGGGTCGATGCATCCTCCCCTGAACCGATATTTCCATATCGCTCGAGGGAGCAGAAGTCCCTCGAGCCCAGCGCATCGTGCGGACGGGACGGCCCCCCAAAAAGCTCCTCACGCTGCAGCACAAAGGCGCGAAATTGTTGTTGCCAATTCTTGGCCTCTGGGGGCTCTCGCCAGGCCCATGAAATCTTACAGAACAAATCGGGGCGAGAAACCCGTCCAAAAGAAAAGACCCAGACCTCGTCCGCCGGTGGGGGAGTCCGGCACCTCGTTGGGGGGGGGGGGGGGGGCAATCGACGTTCAGGCTACCGGATTCGAGGTTCGAGACTCCAGGATGTCTTGGCCAGATCCCAGATCCCCAGCCTCGGGATGCCTTCCAACAGCTGCATCCCGCCGAAGGGCGTCCAAGCGTGCCATCGTTACGGGGCAACGTTGGGGGGGGGCCAGCTCAGGGCGGGCCCGTCGAGAAAACGACGGCCTGGCGCTTTCCACCCTCTCTCTGGGGCCTTTCTGGAGGCTTCTCGTCGAACGGCCTGGTGCGCGTCGGAAAAGAAGTCGGGTGGACCCCGGGGAGAGGTCCGGGACGGATTCTGATCGTATCTGGGCCAGGCTGGAGGGCCGCGGCAGGGCAGTCGAAGTTCGTTCGAGTTCGAGGTTCGAGGTTTGGGATGGGTTCGGCGGCTCTCGGTGCTGCTCCAGGGATCTTGAAAAAAACGCCCAGGGAGCTCTCCAGTAGAACCAAGGACCTTGAACTGCAATGTGTATGGAAATTAAACAACTAACTCATTGGCTACCCTACCTTTCCCCAGTTTACCACTTAGTCTATCAGATGATCAACCTTGTGATGGAAGGCGTAGCCGCTGGAGGCAAACTCGTCCTTGACATGGTTGACTACTGGCTCCAACCCGCGGTTCTTTTTGACCAGGCCCTCCACGTTCTCACATATTACCACAGCTGGCTGGAATTGCTGAACGTACTGGATCATCCCTTGGAACGTGATGCCTGTAAAACCGCACGCCTCTTTGATGCAGTTCGCGTACTTGTTTCTCTCATTGTTCTCCAAGGACACCGACTTGCAGACAAAGCCTGCAATTAAAATGTCCACGGGTGGAACTTGCGCAGCTTTCCCGGTGATGTAGTTGAAAGCTGCGCCTGTCGGCAACTCCTGGATGTCACCGAAAAGGTACGGCAAGTCGGGGAAATTGTCCGTAATCCATTGTCTCTTCTTCACGTCGCTTTCGCATGAGAACGTGTGCTCGACCTTTAGCCTGGGCATTGCCTTCGCCAGGCCACGGAACACAGCGACGGGCGAGTCGGTGCCCGAGCACGCGGTGCCCACGCGGAGGAAACGGCCCTCCGAGGTCGCCAATGCCACCGCCGCGTCGAGTTGTTGCCTCTGCTCGGTGGGCAACTTCCCCAAAAAGAACTCGGAAACGTCCTTCTGCGGCAACTCACGGGAGCCTCCCGTACCATCTTGCTGGCCTTGCGAATCAGCGCTGCTCGACGCTAGTCGGCGCTACGACTCTAGATCGCCGCGAAATCGACGCGAACCGATGCCAATCGACGCTTCATCGGCGGTATCTCATCGATTCAAAGAGACGCTAATCGGCGCTTCTGTACTGTAAAGACGGAACTACGAAGGTACACAAAACTCCCATGGTTTGCTACCGGAACATCCTTCATAGAAGGGCTGGCCGGCATCAGGGAGACCATGGTTTTGACCGCCACACTGCACGCCGAGGCGCGCGCTGCCGCACCTCTACAGTCACGAGCGGCCACGCTGCGCGGCCTGAAATAATAAACACTCTTGAGCCAAACCGGCTCGTCGTTGTCGCCGTCGCCCCCCTTCAAGCTCGGCGGCACCGCCTGGAAGGGGATCGCAAGACTCTCGACCCAAAAAGGCTTCGGATTCCGGCGGATGCCGAATCAGGAAACACATACAGTACAGTCAACCCGTATAATAAGGATGCGCGACTGGGATGTAAGGGCCTTAGACGCCCATTTCGACTCTTCTCGAGCGGGGCGCGGCCAACGAAACTGGCCAAGGATGGACCGAAGAGGCAAGGATGCGAGGGTACCCTTGGGACTTTGCGGGCTGACTGTACAACAATGTGATGGCCCCACTCACAACGACTGATACGGCACCCATCCAGCCAGACTTCCGCTTGACAAGAAGGCTGGCCGAAGGCCCCCGCCCCGCAGTGCACCTAGTGAACTCGAATACGCGAGCGTTTCCCGATAACTAACCGCACACCGCGGATAATAAAGTATCCCCCCCTTAAGTCGTTAGAGTTGATTATCGTCGGCCTAGAAGGGTTTCAAATATAGGCGGAGGGCGCGGAGGCCGAACTTCATTATCACTGAGAAAGTTCGCCATCGAGGTTACTTCCTTCTTATGTTGCTTTGTGTTGCTTTCTGTTTCTTTCTCTCTCTCTCTCTGTCTCTCTCTCTCTCTCTGTCTTTCTTTCTCCTCCTCCCTCTGGCGCCCTGAACTTGCTTATCGTTGGGGTTGATTATCCTGGGAAAACAAAGCACATGAGCTACCCTACACGAGCAGATGAAAATTGTAATGTTCATTTCATTAAGCGTTTACATAGTAAATCTAATAAGTCTTCAACTTTGGATTTTTTCTTCTACCTCCTGCTCTGCTTCTCCTGCTCTTCCTCCTTCTCATCCTTCTCCGCTTCCTTTTCTTCTTCCTCATCCTTCTCATCATTCTCCTCATCCTCTTCCTCCTCTTCCTCATCTGCCTCCCCTTCCTCTTCTTCTGTTTCTATATTTCTATTTAACTCTCTGTATTGCTTCTCCTTCCCCCTCGGGATCTTCATGATATCTTTGGCTTGTTCCTCTTGATATATCTTTATGCTGGCTCTGGCGGGCAACTTTTATTATCTCCCCCAAAACCCCGAACTTGATTATCCCTAGGTGGTAGGGGGTTGCACACCGACCTTGTCCGAACATCGCATAAGTGGAGCGTGCGTTACATCGCACATTCCGTGCACTGCGGGATAGTTCAGCCCTGAGCATCAGCGTCGTCAGGAGGAGACAGTCTGATTTGACGACTATGTGCTCTCGGTTGGATCAAAGCCCGCATATCTCCTGAAATGGTCCACTCGAATCCCCGGTTCGAAAACAATTGACACAGCAACTCGAAACAAACTGTGCAACTAGATCACGAAATCCTTGCCGTGATCAGGGTCTCATGGGCTGGGGGCTCCGGAGATCTCGAGATCATCTCGTCACGCGCTTCCCGCGCCAGGTAGAAAAACAATTGCCTCGAGGCCATGAGGCCTAGAGGTCAAACTATTCGACTGTCGATGCCTGTCTTTGTTGTTGGTTGTTTTGCACGCCAGCGACGGCCATGTGCAGTCCGAAAAACGTTGCTACACAGCGAGTCCGATGAATTTGTCGCCAAACCGAAGCGCTGCGAAACCCACATTGGGCGTGCCAAACGAGCTGCCAATGACTATTCTGATCATATGCGCTCGATGCAAGGCACGTAGCGCAAGCGACAACCATTGCCAGTCAGCAAGGCGGTTTTGTTGGTCACACCGAAACAGGCTTTGACACTCCGCACCGTGTGTGCAAGATTTGGCGCGCTAACCGCTATCGACGGCCGTTTGCAGTCGGGCAAGCGATACTTCTGACCACACATGCGCAAATCCGATTGAGCGCAAAGACGACTCCCAAGAACACCAATTGCAGATAGTGATGCCACCACGCGCGCACGGTATGCAGGGCACAAAACGCCAGCGACAGCCGTTTGCAATCAGCAGGCTGACGCTTCGTAATCTGGTGATAAAGCCGGGAACCCAGCAAAGTGCACAAACGTTTGCCGAAGTGGACCCAAAACAAAAAGGGAGGTGCACTGTGGGTGTGTAAGCATTGCGGTGCAAGTTATGAGGTGGAAAATATGCGGTGCAAGCTATGTTACGCGCTAAACCACATAATATATGCGGTGCAAGCAGGGTGATACAGGCGACGTGGTGTAGGCTATATGGTGCAAACTATGCGGCACAAGCCACGCAGCGTCAGCTAAGGAGTGTAGGCACTGCAGAACCAGCCATGAGGTGCAAGCTGTGTCGTGCTTGTTGTGTGGTGTAAAATGTATGGTGCAAGCTATGTGTTGCAAGCGTTGTGGTGAAAACCATGTGGAAATAACTATGTGGTGCAAACTATGCGGCCGCCCAGCGCACGAGGCGCCCGCCGACGGGCACCACGCGAAACCTTGGCACACGCGCCCAACGCACGATGCCTCAACGAGGCGCCCACGAGACGCCCTTGCGCGGGCACCAGGCAAAATCTCGGCACACCCACCGCGGCGCACGAGGCCCCAACGAGATGTCAACAATCTGGCACCATACGAAGCCTTGGCACGCCGCGGGGTTTGAACTGGTTGGGACCCCAATACGTGAGACATATGGGGCTACTCCGATCCAAATCGGTCCCTGGATCTCTCCCAGGGTCCATCTGGTTGAGTTTGTCACACAAGATCCGTTTCTGACGGCCCAGCTAAATCAGCCCCTGGAGGCCGAAAGCGGCAAAACAAAATCGCGGACCCAGCACCTCAAACATCCCCCCCCCCGCCCATCTGGCAGGAACCAGTGCTGGGCCACCTCAAACCTCCAGACGGCTCCAAGAGAGGAGGGACAAAGAAGGAACCATTTGCTGCCATGATCTCCGCCATGTCCTTCGCAATTGCCTGCCACCTGCCTCCGCCTGGGACGGCCACCTGCAAAAGAGCTCCCCCCGGCTGCTATCGAACGAAGGAGGGGGGGCAGCGTGGGGGGAGGGGCGATCTCACGACGCGACGGGCCTCGCTCAAAGTTCGCCCGACGGAGAACGAGAGAAGGAGGAGGGGGGGGAGGAGGAGGAGGAGGAGGAGGAAACGAGCGTAGGAAGAGTCCTGGTCAACTGCTACTAGAGCCCGCGGTGGGGGGGCAGCGGGGGCGCGCCTGGCCAGTTGCACCTCCCGATGGAGGCGCCGAAGTTGAAGGCGGCAGGCGCAGCCGCTGTTTCATTCATGTGAGTCGGGGCACTGCGCGACGACATAAGGTGGAGAAGCGGGGGAAAAGGAGCAGGCGCAGAGTTCAGGAGAGACGGACGGGTAGAGAAGATGCGCCCCGTCGCCGAGACATAGACATAGGCAGAGCAGACGGGGGAGACAGGCTGCGGCAGAGGACAGGTGGGCGACGCGGGCACCGCAGGGGGTGCCGATAGTGGGCCCCGCGGCACCGTCGACAAAATCTGCAAGCTGGAGCTGCGACGCACAGGCGTAGAAATCACCGGCGTGGCCACCGAGGCCCTCGAGGGGCTCAGCAGAGGGGGTTGGCCTGACCTCGAGGCTCTGAGAGGGGTCATCGCAGAGGAAACGTCAAAGCGAGAGGGCGGCGTGGGGGCCTGCAACTCAGCTTCGTCCTCTGAGCTGCAAACGAGCACGGGGGGAGCGAGGGGCGCGGCAGGGGCGGGTGGCTCGAATGACGAGCTCGACGAAGAGGAGGATGAAGAGGAAGGGCCAGGCCGAGGCAACCCGAAGTCCGTCGCCTCGAGGGCGGCCCGCTCGCCGCTCGAGAGCTGCATCGGAGGCGCCATTCTCGTCGCGCGTACTCCGGCCAGGGCACAGCTGCAGGTTTGGCGTTGGTCAACCGGCCACTGCTCGATAGCGCGGGTTACATTGTACATGCTGCATGCCACCATCATCACCGCAACGTTATCAATCGACGGGGATCGGAGACACCAGCGGTGCAGCACAGGAAGAGGGAAGGATCGACCCAGCGCCTGACGCACCGCCGAGAACATCCTTGGGCAGCGGGCGCAGTGCTTGAGAGAGTCGGGCAAGCGCGCACAACCGCATGCGCGAGCCGCCGACCGCCCACATGGAGGATGCGATGCGAAGTGAGCCATGCGTCCGACCAGGTCCGAACCGCAGCCCACGCCCACGACGTCGGGCAACTCCTGGGTACTGTAACAATCGGGCCCCAGTTTATCTCACCAAGAACAGCGCGGTGGAAGGGTATCAGCTTACGCAATCTTAGCCCCAGAACTCCAGCAAGAGGAGCGGTGTCACGCGCCAACCCACGAAGAGCACGACGCGCAGCACGTTGAGGACGCGGGCGGCCGTCCACGGCCGCCTGGAGCTCCTCACGGGGCGCCTCGCAAGCGACGGGCACCATGGGCGAGAGCTGACCAGGTGGGCCTAGCCCAGCAGCAGCTTGCGCCAGCGTCCCCACATGCGACTGAGAGCGCCAGAAGCTCGGGTGCAGACGACCTGGGCGGAGCATGCACAGCGTGCGCCAGTCGTCGTGCTCGTTGACGAAAGAGACCAGCGAGTGCAGGATCTGCTCGTGCTCAGGGAAGGCCAGCGTGGCGGCGCGCGCCAGCGAGGCGACGGCGGCGCGCCCCCAGCGGAGGACGCGCGGGCCGCCCCACAGGAACAGCTGCGCCCAGGACTCCAGCGAGAGGGCGCCGAGCGGCGCCGGAAAGGCCTGCGCCAGCGTGGGCAGCTCAAGCGCCAGGAGCTTGGGGGGCAGCCAGGCAATTTGCGCGACGTACGAGAGCGTGGCCACCGCGCGGGTGCTATACAATATGGCTGAGACGCTGGGGGGTGTCGCGCCGCGGCAAATCGCCTGAGCCCGCAGGCGAAGCTTGGCAACAGGGTCCGTCCAGCAGTCACATGGGCCAACCTCAGGACCAAACCATAGGCCCAAGTAGAGCAACTTCAAGACCACCTCCAGATCAGCCCAAGTCGGGATTGCCTCCAAGATCGCGGCCTTCACACGGGCCGCCAGTGGTACGGAGAAGCGCCCAGCCAGGGGCACGACCATGCATTTCGGTATCTTGAGGACTAGGTTGGCGAAGTACTCAGCGAGCTGCATGATACGGAAGACCTGCAAGAGCCCCACGATCGACCGAACCGCCTCTCCGATGTCGCCCGCACACGCTCGAACAAGACCGTGCCCAGGACCCTCGACCGATAACTCCAGGTAGCTGATGCAAGGCGCCGTACGCAACGCAAAGAGGCTCCCAGAGAGCCCGCAGCCCTGGGGAATCCCAATGCGGATCCAGAAGATCCTCCTCAACACCCCGCCGACCGAGACGACGCCCTCGATCGCGGCGCACAGGGAGCAAACGACGAGGAGGAGAGCATCAGGGAGGTTCAGCATCTGAAGCACCATTTGCATGTAATCCTGGTTCAGGGAGGGGAGAGCTTGGCCGAAGTCCAGGGAGAAGAGGAGGGGATGGCCAGGATCATGAGGGCATGTAGCCGATAGCTTCCGAGCGCGCGCATCAACTTCTAGAATATTGAACCCGGAGCTCCGCCCAGGCACGAACCCCCTCTGGGACTGGGGGGCGACGTGCGCTACCACAGGGCATATCGCTCGATTCACGACTGCGGACATGATCTTCGCGTCCGTGTTCCTCAAACCGAGAGCCCGTATGTTATCTGGGGTACGCGTGCATGTGCCGTCTCTCATCTCGTGCTCAGTGATGGCCTTCGGTAGAACGGCTTGAATAATAGCGCTGGACTCCAAGAACAGCCGCTGCCCCGACATCACCCAATCCAAAGCATCAAAGAGAACTCGGATCCCATACTCATCGCACCCCCAAGCATCGCACGGTAGCCCATCTACACCCGTGGCACTGTGGCGCGCCCTCCTGATATCCTCCCTCATAGACCGCAACGACGGCGGCGGCATGTCAACATCCTCAGTGGAAGGCAGGCGTTCCCGAAGATAAGAGCGAGCATCGGCAGCAGCGAACGGCTTCTTGGCAAAGACAGGGCCCCAATACTTCCCTAGGGCATCGATGCGGTCGGAGGGGTCAATCACGACGCTGTGCGAGGAGGAGTCGGCCACGCCGGAGAGAGACAGACGCTCGCCGATCGGCGACCACAGCCTTGCCTTCTTCTCCAGCGGGCGCAGTTGCAAACGAACCTGCTGTGCACCCCCTTCTTTTTCCTGTCTAGCTTGGAGCTCGCGGCGACGAGCTTCGGCAGCCCCGCGCTGGACGCGGCAAGACCACTCCTGAAACGAGGGCGGGTGGCGCAAGGATACACTGGCGCCGTCGATCACGACGTGCTCGTCAGTCTCGGGATGCGAGTTCTGAAGCCGGCGGGCCAAACGCCAATCCTGCCTCCAGACCACGCGCGCCAGGGACCAAGCAAGTAGTAGTAACAACTGCGGGTGCTGGGGTCGCAGGCGGAGGAGGCGATCGCGGGTTTCCAGACCAGTCTGGCGAAGAAAGAACTTGTAATGCTCGAGACGGAAGGGCAGTGACATCGACGACCAGTCACTCGACCGAATGAGACCAGCCAGGCGCTCCAGGAAGAACGGCTCGCGGCACAGCTCGCGTGGAACAGGGCGCTCAGCAGCAGGCTTAGGGGCACGAGTCGAGAACGATACAACCACAGCAGCATGATCCGATATCCTTTTGTCAGAGACAGCGGCCGCCGACTCGACCGTCGCCGAGGTGGCGTGCATCTGGCAGGCCTGCCAGCTGGCCAGGGAGCAAAAGACCCTGTCGATGCAGGACGACTCGTTGGTGTCCTTGACATAGTGCGACGGCTCGTCGCTAGCCCGGCAGCGCAGCCGGCGGCGGGGCCGCCGAATGGCGGCCGAGGGGGCGCGCAGGATGAGCGCCTCGTCCGCGGCAAAATTGAAGTCGCCGTTGACCGCCACTAACCTGCGAGCAGGGCCGTCCTGGGCGGCCCTCAGCGCGGCGTCGATCGACACGGTCACGCGACGGATGTCGTCCGAACGCATGCCCTGATTATGAATGTTGAAGACCGTGAGTAAGACATCGCTCCTCTGGATATCCATTCTTAGCACCCTCCCAGGAACGAGGCTATCATGCGAGACTGTCGTCAGAGCCCCCCCCCCCACCATAGATAGCTTCGGAAGCAAAGTCGCGACCCCGCCTTTGATGCGGCCCGTCCTTTCCGCGCCAACGAAGCTCGTGATCAGCGCGGACTCGGGGTAGATCTCGTTCATGAACGCGCGCAGCTGGAGGTTGCCCTGGCGGACCCCCTGCGGCGGGGCGATCGCGCGGTGCGGCCGCAGCCGCGCGAGGTAGTTCTTCTTCAGGCTAGCCTTCGCCCCAGCAGCCTGAAGTAGCGCTCGGCAGTTCCATGTCGCGAACCGCAGTGGCGGTGGAGACCCATTGCAATCATTCGTACTGAAGTGGAAGACGGCAGCAACATCAAAGGCACCGCTGAGGCTCCATGGGAGGGTCCGTGAGCGCCTTCGTCGCAGCGATGGCCTGCGCCTTCGAGATCCGATGCTTCTGCAGGCCTTCGCCGACCCACCGCGGCTTCGGAAGGGGGCTCGCCGTGGAAGACCTCGACCCGCAGCACTTTGCCCCATCCGATGGGCAGCGCCCCCCTCTCACGGCCCAGGAAGATCCTGGAGCCCGCGCCGCGCAACTCCTGGAAGGCATCCTTGCACTTGCGCAGCGTGATCTCTTGCTTGACCTGCTGCGGGCTCTCGCCAGGGCCGAGGTGGAGACGGCGCGCAGGCGCGCCGTCGACCTCAGCCCAGAACTCTCTCCAAACGCCGTTCTCGCGAAGCTTGGGGAGCACCGCCTGCACCTTCCGCGTCGCGGGCGCAGAGAGCCCGCCAAACTTGATGGGGAAGCGGCGGCTGAGCAAGGGCCCATCCGCCTCGATATTGTAGTCCTCTGGTTTGAACGCCAAGGACAGCAACCATTCGTCCAGCGACTTCTTGACCGCGGCGAGGGTGGTCGGCACCTGCGACATGACCACCACGAGCGCCACGAGCGCGTGGTCAGGGTCGCGGGAGAAGCCCGACGGCACCGCGACGGGGACCACGGGCCTCTCCTCAGCGACCGCGAGCAACTTCTTGAACTCAGCCAGCTCACCCTGCAAGGCCTGCAGCTTCTCGTCATGTTTGTCCATCCTCTCGTCATGCTCGCCCAGGCGCGCAGCGTGAACATCGAACTGCGGACTGTACCTGCTGGTCAAGAGAGGAGGCTTGCCCATTGAGCTGGATCCTGACGGCCTCCAGGGCCTGAAGGGCCATTCTGTTTGACTCTGCAACCATGCCGGCGACCGTTTTGCCAACTTCTTCTTGCATGGATTCTTTGAGACCATCCCACTCTGAACGCACAGTATTTCGTAGGTAGTCATCTGACACTCATGCCCATTCTCCGCTTTCAGCATCATCATCGGGTCCGTCGGCACCGAGCAACGCCCCAGAGGTAGGCGGTATGGCACGACGCTTGCCAAGAGGAGGGACGTCAGCATCAACAGCACGAGACGTAACATAACCTTTCCCGCGTTGGCTGCCCTTCGCAGTGTCCTCAAAGGTCTGCGACGGGAAGGTGGCTGCGAGGCCGATGCCATCGAGGAGGATATGCTGCGTGTTGGGGTCGGCGACCCCCATGAGCGAGACTGAGATGCCCGCGCGCGCAGGAACGGGAAAGACCTCTGTTTACCCGCGGGCACGAGCGTGAGTGCGATGCCCAAAATCTGCCAGACCACCAGGGGTCTTGCCTGCCGCGGACTAGCGGTATCCACTTGTTCCCCTGAGGACCTATGCACCTTGAGCCAAAATGGCTTCGGCGGAGGAAAAGGAGGGGAAGGGGGAGGAGGTGGGGGAGGAGGAGAAGGAAGAGGACGAAGAGGAAGAGAAGTAAGAGGAGGAGGAGCAGGAGGATGAGGAGGAGGATAAGGAGAAGGAGGAGGAGGAGGAGAGAATGAGGAGAAGGAGGAGGAGGACGAGGAGGAGGAGGAGGGAAGGAAGAGGAGGAGGAGAAGGAGGGGAGGGGGACGAGGAGGTGGAGGAGAAGGAGGAGGAGAAGGACAAAGAGGAAGAGAAGGAAGAGGAGGAGGAGGAGGAACAGGAGAAGGAGGAGGAGGAGGAGGAGGGGAGGAGGAGGAGGAGGAGGAGGAGGATGAGGAAGAGGAGAGATTTTTTGCCGTCGACGACGCCAAGCTGCCCACATACACCGCAAGCGGGGGGGCGAGACCCGCCAGGGGAAAAAAAACAACCACCAAATTAAGCAGACCCGGACTCGGAGTGGTCTTTACGAGCTCTAGGTTGACTTGGCCCTGCAGCTGCACCCAAGAGCCGTAAAGCAATCGAGACTCTGCGCAGCGTGCGAAGGCCGTCCGAATCCTCCTCCGATGGGGGGGAGGAGGCTCGGCGAGGGGAGCAGGATCCTCATCTTCCGTATTGTCCCAAGGGCCAGCGGTTAAAGTGGCTCCGGACTTCTGGGGTGCAGTCCTGAAGCAACCTGGCTCCAGGCGTGCTTCCGACCTTGAGCCCCAGATCTTGGCAAGGGCTTGCACTCAAGTTGGAAACCCCGAACTTGGCCACCACAAGTATATAACTTGCAGCTTACATGCATAAACACACTACCGTCGCTGGCGTCGAGAAACAGCATCTTATGCCCCAAAGCAGCCAACTTTGGACCATCATAGCCTCGAACCCCAACGCCGACTCCCCCCGGAAAATATATGTGGTCGGTCTCTCCTGAGACCGAGCCCTTCGGAAGCAGGACAAACACTGCCAGAATCTAACAGTCCAAGACCAGGAGTGCCCCGAACGCGGGGGTCTCGGGGCGCCGCAAGGAGGCGGGGGAGGGGGATTACGAACAACATTGGGGCCCATGTCAAGCTTAGGCCACAAAGGCACCAATTTAGCCGCCAGCACCGCCACGGCCAAAGAGACACGACATTGCTCGTCCAGCCGCTCGACGGCCTCACTATCAAATTTAGGGTGAAGCTCCACCGCTAACTTCGCGGACCGATCGACGGCGCTGTTACCTTCACACATATACCACGTCCAAGCATCTTCGCCGTCGGTCTCGACATGGTGGGCCCTCACCTCTGAAACAGAGCACTGGTGCGAAACATCTCTGCAGAACTGGACGACCCCAGCAAAAATGCGTTTCGGCGAGCATTGTGCAGGAAAAAGCAAACTGTAAAAGTCTACACAGCTTTGACAGTCTAGGAAAAGGTTCGTTGGCTCCACAGACCACTGCAGCGCAGCGCTATGTGCGTGAAGCTCTGCAGCCTGGGGGGTCTGGGGAATGGGCCCCAAACTGGTCCACGGACTCTCACCACTTCGAGACCTGTGCAACGACCCCAGACGGTGAAGGCCCAGCCAGCCCGATTGAGCTCTTTCATCACCCGCCTCGTACATGAACCATCACCGAAGATGTCGCCCTGCACCGCCTCGGATAAGTCGCCTTGCTGTTCAGAGGCCCACTCTACAACGATGCCTCCAGAAGATGCGGGAGCTGGAAGCTGGCCCCCGGGATGAGGAAACATTCCGTAACATGCTAGAGCATCGTCGGCTTCGGCAGCGAGCCTGCGGACATCAGGTTGGACAAGTTCAGCGCGTTCCGCTTCCACCGCGGTGCACTCCCACAGCCGGTGCCTCAACGTGTCCCGAGCCTCCAAACAGAGGGCGCACAGGTCGCCAATCACATAGCCGAAGCTGACCGCGCGACTACGAGTGTAGATGGCGTCGCAAAATAAGGCCCGAATACGTCCCTGTTGGAACGGGGCGAATTTCTTAGACCAAGGAGAACACAAGGTGCCGTCCACGCACGCCCGCGAAGACATATTGAACCGAGCCCCCAGGTCCCACTCCAAACCCCGAAGCACCGCTTTCTTGAGGAGGGTTTTGACGAGGCCCAGGGAGAACACCGTAAGTTTCACAACTTGGCCCTGGTCCGTGAGAAATTCAGCAAAAGACGGCATGTTCCACGAGATGTGCTCGCAGCTCTTCCGCAGAGCAGCGACTGGTCCTCCAACGTTGCGCCACAGCGGAGATTCGCCGTCGAAGCTGCCAGCCCACGCCTCCCGGAGCTCGGCGAGGGGGATGGAGTAGGGGTGGAGATGAAAGTGAGAAATCCACACCTCTTTAGCCCAACGAATGATGGGGGCCACCGCGGCGATCCAGCACGGCTCCTGGTGGGCCGAAAGCAAAGCCGTCAAACTGCGGCCACGCGCCGACGGCTGCAGCACCGACGCTGCTTGCCGTCGAAACTGCAGCAACTCATGGTCCGTGACCCCATGGATATCAGCCCCGAAAAGGTTTGGCGCCATGGCCCCGGAAGCGAACACCTTCCGAGCAACGCGGCCGCCCACCGTGGGCCTTAAACGGGCCAGCCTGGAGCAAAACCCCTTGGATTTGATCTCCCTGGATTTCGCCTTCGCTGATCTACTGTGTCGGCGGCGCGGCTTGCCAGCAGCATCGTCGACGCCTAAGTTGGCAGCGCTTGGAACCAAAGGGCCAGGCGGGAACCCAAACGCTAGCCTAAGGGGCGCGACGAACAAACCAACGACCTCTTGCCAGGATCATCCGAGACAATCGCGCCCATCTCCTCCGTGAGGGCCCTGTGGAGGGCCACCACCGCCGGCGGGAGGTGCGTGAGAACGTACTCGGAAGATCCTGTACACGACAATCCAGAATAATCGATGTACAGCTTGAGGTGGACCTGCGGCGGAAAAGTGAGACGGTCGAGAGCTCCGATGGAATAAACCCTATCAATGTCGTGGCGAAACTGCATCCCGCCACAAAGCCCCGATCCGCCCAAAAGGGGCCATCCACGAAACCAGCGAGCCTGAACCAGCGACTCTGGAAATACATGCAAACAGCGACTCTCGCCAGAGCCATCGGGAAGCCAACCTGTTGCAGCTATGCAAACAGCTTGCGGAGATCAACCGTCTCATAGTATTTGTAGAGGTCAAGCAGCACCGTGGCAGCCTCAGCTTTGGCGTGGACACTGGACTCGGCTCGAAGAGACTGGCGCCAAACGACGTCTTGGGCCCCCTCGAAGGGCCCAGCCGCAAAAAACTCACGAGCGTTATCGTGCTCCCACTGTTGGCACAGTAGACGACGGACACGGCCGTAAGCCCGATACAACGCGCAGAACGTGCCGATCGGTAGGAATCCAACCGTAGCCTTAGGAATCAGGGCGAGAAGCACAATAGCACACTGTTGAGGGATCAACGAGGAGGCTTCCATGATACCAAAAATCCGAATCAAGCCTTCAAGGGTGAGGTCACTCATCGTATTGAAATGGCGCATGTGGAATCCATCCGTGGCAACCGAAGTATCTTCCTTGAACCCCTTGGAAAAGGCCCTGACAGCATCGATAGGCACGGGCGGAAGCTCATCTTGCACAACATCGTGCAAGAACCAATCCTGCGTACGACCGTCCCCCCATAAACAAGCGAACTTCCGGCCTTCCGCCTGCAACAGGGACAGAGGATCGCACACAATTTCCTTATCCAGCGCCAAGGTCGTGCTCGGGACCCATTTGGTGGCTCCCTTGGCCACCATGTGAACCCTCCGGGCCCCGCGATCAGACCTGTATAAGATCCAATCCCGGAGCTCCTTAGCCCCTACCTTCCTCGCCTGGGCCTCGACGACACCGAGCGCCGCACAGAAGCGAGCGTGCAGGGCAGAGAAACGATCGAGCCACGGACCAGCAGCCTCCTCATACAGGAGGAGGAGAAGGAGGACGAGGACGAGGAGGGCAATCTCGCCACTGGCAGCCGCCGCACGCAGGCCCGCGCGCGCCGCCTCGTCGCCCTCCTGCAGCGCCCGCGCGTCCCAGCGGTCGTCCTCGCACGCCGGGGCCGCCGACGGCGCCCCAGCACCCTCCCTCCGTCAGGAAGAGCAGGGAGGAGGAGGAGGAGGAGGAGGAGGAGGAGGAGAAGGAGAAGCTGACGCTGCAGGCGGAGGACCGCCTTGGAGCTCGGCTAAGAAAAAAAAAAGAAGGAGAAGAACGACGTGCAGAGGAAAAGGAAGAGGGGAGGAGGAGGAGGAGGAGGAGGAGGAGGAGGAGGGGGGAAAAACATGGAGGAGGAGGAAGAGGAGAATGAGGAAGAGGAGAAGAGCCTGAGGGAGAGGCCGAGGATAAGAAGGAGGAAGAGGAAGAGGAAGAGGAGGAGGAAGAGGGAGGAGGAGAAGGAGGAGGACCTCCCCGTATCCGCCTCGTCCCGCCTGGCCTCCAGTCGGCCTTCACCCACTAGGAGCAGGAGGGAGGGAGGAGCTGATAACCTCCCGTCGACTATTTTTCGAAAGCAAGAAACAATGTGGAGACCATCGGGGGGGCGCTGCCACGGTCGCCGTCGCCGACATCTTCGTGGCGGATTTCGGTTCACAACTCGGGCCTAGGGCTGCCATTCGTGACGACTACAGTGCACCGCCGGAAAGCTCTCGGCGAGGCGCGCCAACTGAAGAGCACCCCAAGGCCTGGAAGCCTTGGAGCATTCGCCATCCGGCGTCGCTGTCGCCGCAGCCGTCGTCGTCGTCGTCGTCGTCGCCGTCGTCGTCGTCGTCGTCGTCGTGATCGTCGTCGTCGTCGTCGTGATCGTCGTCGTCGTCGTCGTCGTCGTCGTCGTCATGATCGTCGTCGTCAT